GACAGGATCTCGGCCGAGAGCTCGATCGCCTGGTTGAACCCATTCTCCCCGCCGTAGGAAACGTCCACCACGTTGAGCACCTTGGTCTGGAGCCGTGGATCAAACATGTCCGACTGCCCGAGCTCCGTCTTGAAGTCCGCCGACCCCGCGAGGATGAGCCCGGCAACGTTGGGCTGGCTCGTCACCGGGTTGACGAAGAACTGCGTCGCTAGCTCCGCGGTCTTCCTCACGTAGTTGTGCCTCTTCTCCATCCGGAGCCTCGCGAAACGCAGCGCCGACTGCCCTCCACGGCCGTGCTTCTTGGGCAGATCCACCGTGAACTTGTGGAGAACCTCGCGAGTGTTGCCGCTGAGCGTGCCAAAGAGGGTCCCGTTTCCATCCATGATGATGAAGCCGAACTTCTCGTCGGACTCCAGGAGCTCGTTGAGCGCCTCGGTGTGGAACTTGTTGTCGCAGAGGTAGAGCGACGCGTTGATGGGCTTGAAAGGCTCGAAGTCGATGGTCACCTTCTTCTCCTTGCCGTCCTCGGTGACGATGGTGCCCGTGTAGAGCACCAGGCCATTGGGCGGCACCTTGTTGTAGAGCTTGAGGCGCTGCTGGGCGGAGGTGATGGCGCCGAGCACCGACTGGCGATTCACGCGGTTCTTGATGTTGGAGGCCGTGCCGAATTCGTCGCCAAGCATCTTCTGGACGCGATTGACCTGGTCGCGCGGCGGCATGATGAGCGAGATCATGCTGGTGCCGTTGCCCCTCGCGGATTCCAGCGCCTTGATCAGCTTCTTGATCTTCCATATCTCGATGTTCTTGTCGGTCTCAGCGCCGTCCGCCATCCCTGGCAAGGAGAGAGGAGCGATGGATCAGAGAATGGAATCGAGAATACGCGTCTTACCGCTCGACCGCGCTCCGCTGCTGGACGCCACACTGCCCACCGCCAGAGAAAACCCTAACCCTACGAGGAGGATGAGGGGCGAATATCCACCGGCATCTTCCAAGAGTTTGTTTGAGCTTTGGCCTCTCGGAAATTCTCGAGCGCCTCGCGGACACGTCTCAAGCTGGGAAAAGAAAGTCACGATCAGCGCATTCTTCCACTCACACTGGACGACGATCACTCGAGAAAATCGGAGGAGAGATTTCATACTTACTTTGATACGCTTGACCACTTCTCGAGCAGGCGATCGGCTTCCAGGAACTTTAGCGGCGAATCGGCCAAGCCCAAGACGAGAGCTTTCCAGTCTTGTCGCTGGAAGAGCTCCTCCGCGAGATCTAGACCCGGTTGTTCCACTGCGGCGTGGACGAAGTCGGAGAGATCTTGTTTGAGCTGCTTTGGATCCAATCGCCAGGCTTGCAATCTGGGAGGAGCGATGGTGTCAATCCAGCTTACTTGGAAAGTTGGAATGGACTGACCTGGAGGATGGAGCGAGCTTGGAGTAGAGGTTTTCCTCGCGGAGGATGTCCAGTAGCTCGATGATTCTTCCAGTGGCAGCGTCGCTGGACGATCCGGGATTTTTTACGTAGAGCATGCACGACGATGGTGTCTTGAGCTTGCAGCGAGGAATGTCCGTGGCCACCTTGAGCACGGCCTCGATGAGAGGAAGAGCTTGGTCACCTGAGAGAGAAGGAAAGAAGCTTATAAGAACACGAAGAACACGAACGATTCCATAGGAAGCTGGCATACCTTGTCCATTCCTGACGAATCCTTTGCAAGTCTCGGCGAGCTTCTCCAGGCACGACATGGAAATGCAGGATCCATATTCCACTCGCTCTTGCGATACAGCGAGATTATCGTCGAGATTCTTGCCCTGGCATCTGTCCATCTCTGGAATCCCCTGTCCCACGCAGCCGGGCCGAGAATCGCCGTGGAATTTTGCCGATGAGAGAATGGACACCAGCGCTTCGATGGAGAATGCCGTCGTTCTTGGATAGAGCTGCGAGGAATGGATCCATTACCGCATTGCAAGAATCACAGGCAAACTTACAACGGCGGCAGTAAATCCCATCATTCCCAGCGCCCGATCGACCAGCGGCGATCGAGCCTGGCACGACAGCGCGCCGGGAAATGGATCGGCGGAAGGCGAGGCGCGCGACACAAGCTCTTCCAGTTGTTGCATCTCTCCTAAAACCCTAACCGCATATTCTCCTCTTTGAAATCGAACATTCCGCCAGAATCTCTAACTGACAGAATATCTCTAGGATTGTCCTTAATTTAAAACCACGTGGAAAACCTTGGGCAATGGCGACAATGAAGGCGGGGCTCGCGTTTGTTTCTCTGGCGATTCTCCTCTTCGCGATCGCTGGAGCGAATCAGGTACTCGATTTTTGATCGCTCGGGGCTCGCCGATCGTTAGGATGATCACGGGGGTTGAATCTTCTCTTTTTCGATCTTAGGCTCTCGATCGATGCAGCCTTCTCCCGATCGATCACTTCTTCCTGTTCAGCAAGCGCGTGATCACTCCCGCGGGGATAATCTCCGCTTCTGGTAATATTGGAAGGATTTTGAGCTAGTGCGCTATAGTGGTTTTGCTTGTGTAGTGGAGATTGACAATGGCAAAGTGGTATCGATTCTCGAGCGGCAAGAGGCGCCATCCAAGGAGATAAACGGCGTGCCTGTGATGGATTATGGAAATGCGGTCGTCATGCCGGGTCTCATTGATGCGTAAGAACGAAGTTTCCATCTTTTCTTCTGCGGAGCTCATGGTTTTTCCTTCTTTCAAAGGCAGTCATGTTCATCTAAACGAGCCAGGAAGAGAAGAATGGGAAGGATTTGTTACAGGAACTATGGCTGCCGCAGCGGGTAAGAATCTGAAACTAGAAAGCAAGTGAAATCGTTTTATGTAGTGTTGTAGAAACTTTGTTTTCTTAGGTGGAGTGACTTCTCTCGTTGACATGCCTTTGAACAGTTTCCCGACCACTACGTCAAGCGAGCTTCTCAAGTTAAAGGTACTTTTCCTTCTTCGTTTTCTTGTTCTCGAACTTTGGTCGATGAACTTTGTTTGATCAGCTTGCAAGCGCAGCAGAGAAACTTATGGTCGATGTTGGTGAGGATATCTTTCTTTCTTCTTTTTTCTCCAACTTTCGCTTGATCACCTTTAGGATTTTGGGGAGGCCTTGTTCCTGAGAATGCTGCCAATCTAACAATCTTGGACGAACTTCTTGATACTGGAGCTTTGGGCCTCAAGGTATTAGCCGCTGCTCGTACATATGAAAATGTTTCTCAAGGCTCCGATGATTTTTACGCAGTCTTTTATGTGTCCATCAGGAATAAACGACTTCCCCATGACCACGGGTCAGCACATACAGGTCTTTTTTCAAGAGGTATTGGCTTTCAAACTGAAAACTCAATGCAGGCGGCGTTGCCCGTGTTAGCAAAGTATGGTCGTCCGTTGCTCGTCCATGCAGAAAAAGAACAACCCGGGGTTAAATCCTCTCAAGTGGACAAAGACCCCAGGCTGTATTCAACACATCTCGAGTCAAGACCAAATTCGTGGTACATGTTTTAAGCAGCTTTTTAAGTCACTGAGTGTTTTAAATGTGTTTGCTTTGTTGTTCAAGGGAACAGGAAGCTATACGAGAGCTACTAGATGTTGCAAAAGATACAGCTCCTGGAGGAAAAGCTGAAGGTGCTCGTGTCCATATTGTCCATTTATCTGATGCCGACGAATCCATTCAAATGATCAAGGTGACCAAAGCTTTCTGGGTTTCATTTCATTGACATATGTTTCGGCAGAAAGCCAAAGCTCAAGGCTTGAATGTGTCGGTAGAAACATGCACTCACTACCTGGCATTCTCGTCGGACAACATAGGCGATGGTGATACTCGCTACAAGTGCGCCCCTCCCATTCGGAGCGAGCTCAACCGAAAGAAACTTTGGAGTGCTGTGAATGTGAGTTGTTTCTCGCTTTTAGTTTTTCCAAACTTCTAGCCTTGAACTCTCTTCTCTTTCCAGGATGACTTTTTCGATCTACTCAGCTCGGATCACTCTCCGTCTCCCAGTGACATGAAGTTACCGGAAGAAGGTGACTTCATGAGAGCTTGGGGCGGAATTTCTTCGCTTCAGGTTATATAGTTTTCTACTCAAATTTAGTTTCTGACTGACGGCTTAAACTCAGTTTGTGCTTCCAGCGACTTGGACCGCCGGAATACCTCACGGACTGACGCTGGAGAAGCTCTCAAATCTGTGGAGCCGAGGTCCAGCGAAACTTGCAAACATTTACTCCTCCAAGGTACTCTCGTCTCGTATAGGATTTCTATTCAACCTTCGTGATTGCACAGGGATCTTTAGAACCAGGGAAGGATGCCGACATCGTAGTATGGGACCCGGAGAGCTCCTTCGTAATTGATGAAAACTACACCATTTTCCACAAGCACAAGGTAAGTGATTGCTTTCCACGAATTTATGTCATTTGGTTTTTCTCCAGCTCACACCATATGCGGGACAAACGTTATATGGACGAGTGATCGCTACTATTGTTCGAGGCCAGCATGTATATCAGGAAGGCCACCATGCAACGCAACCGTGTGGAAAGGTGCTCCTTGCTAAATCAACGAGTTAGTTTGATCAAAAAAATATTAAATAAAAAAGGGTCGCCGTTGCCGGGGATCGAACCCGGGTCGTCCGCGTGACAGGCGGAAATACTTACCACTATACTACAACGACTTCGAACGATCACAAAAGAAAGTTCTAGCTAGAAGTGTGGCCATTCTAGTTTGGTTTTTTCTTTCGCTTGCTTCGCTTTTTTCTCCCAATTGCGCCTTCTTCTTCTTCTTCGGGGTATCTTTCCTCCAATAGATCCATGGATTTCTACAGCGCAACACAAAATCGTTCAAGAAAAGATCATTCCACCGCCTACCTTGTTCATCTCCATGAAGCTCACTCCATAAAATGTTAGTGCGGCAGTAGCAACAATGCCAAGAACAGGCATTACAAGCACTGATAGATCCATGCCTTATCTCTTGTTCCCTAGAACCACACAAAACTATTTGAGATGAACTGTGAGAATAAATCATAGATAACTATTTTTTATCTTATTTTTAAAGTTAAAATAAATGGAATTGATCTACATGAGCACAAGAGATTTATGGTACACTTCCTCACTTGGAAACAGAGCAAAAGTAAGACAATTAAGAAGAAAAAAGTTATAAAATGAAGAGCCAAGAGCAAAACAAGGATCTTTTCTGGATTTCTATCGCAGCTCCCTGCACAGGAATAACTCGGAGCTCAAATTCCTAGAAGGAAAACTGTAGAAAAAAATAAAAATAAAAATGGAAGAGGGCGTGGGAGTGGAGAGTGGTCACTTTACATACAGATTATCAGCTACATAACCATCGAATGCCAAATCGTTGTCCACAAAGCTCATATCTTCCTGTTGTTGCTGGAAAGAGGAATCAAACGTGTCAGCAAACAGGAAGAAACGAAAGAGAAGAACTCAAACCTGCTTCAAGTAAAAGCTGAGAAGATCATCCGCAGCTGGAGCTTGCTGTTGCTGATCAATCTGGAAGCCTATCTTAGCACTTATCAACGAGTCCGATATGGTTTCCACCTTGGGCTTGAAGGAGCTCTCCGCGGTTGATTTCTCGCTGCTCTCTCGCAAGCTCCGCACGGTGCCTGGATTCACAATGATCTCGTCCTCCAGTAACTTCTTGTGTTGCTGATGAACGTCTTGCCCGGCCGCCACCGCGTTGTAATTGTTAGTGTGGCTCCCGACCGAGTGATTGTAGCTCGGGGGGCTCATCACCGGGCTGCAAGCTTCCAGTCGTTGCTGTTCCTGCGTACCCGCCCACTCTTGAGGCCTCCGGTTCTGGTTATACACCGGCATTCCAAAGCCGGCTGAAGAAACCACTGCTCCTGGGTTCAATCCCTTGACAGCCGCAACCTCTGCCGCGTCGAACGAAACCATGGGGGCGGGGGCGACGGGTGGAAGTGGAGGAATACCGCCCAGGCTCGCTGGAGAGAAGTTGCTTTCCACTACACCCAGTAAGCCTCCGTTCTTGTTTTCCATGGCACCCGAGCTCCTCATCACCGCTGCGTTTAGCCCAGTGTAGCCAACCTCGTCGTTTAACCCCGTGTTGACTCCCAGGTTTATCTCGCTCAAGACTGTACGTTGCTGTTGTCCCAAGCCCGGCCCTGGAATTCCTATCGGTGGCTGCTGCTGTTGCTGCTGCCTTTGGTGTTGAAGTAGCTGTACCACGAGAGGATTCGAAGAACCGTTTTGATTCGGACAAAAAGTCCCAGTTAGTCCCAGGTTGGTCATACCCGGTAGCTTTGGCGAGGCATTTGCAGGAACCTGTTGTTGGATCGGGTTTAGTCCATACAGAGGTACCTGCGGAGCCTGCTGTTCTATCTGATATCCACCTGAGAAAGCCGGGAAGTACGAGTTCTGGGACCCGAAAACTGGCGGTGTCATGTTTGGTCTAAACACCGGTCCGCCGCCGGAGAGCTGAAGAAGACCAGACTGATCGAGTGCGGTTGACGCTGGCAAATTGTTTGTCGTGCCTATCCTACCAATTACTCCTTGCTGAACTGCCGGGACCGCTTGCAATGAAAATGAGCCGTGGCCCCGCCCTTCAACAGGACCATCGGCACCACCAAACGAGAAACCTGCTGAGTTTTGCGGTTGCTGAGCGCTGATCCTTTTCAGGTACAGCCGGTACTTCTGGGAAAAGAAACAGAAGAAAAGAGATTGTAGAATCTATAACCAGGAAGACACCATACCTGTAAATGACTTGCAACGTTTTCCCTGGTAAGGCCAGGAACGTCCATAAGCTCCAAGATCTTTTTAGGAACGGCCTCTGCGAAACGAGAGACACAGCAACGTTAGAAGACAGTTCGAAATGAAAAAGCTTGAGCTTACTATCAATGTTGAGCTTGTTGACAGCGTTCACGAACTGCTGGTGAAGCTCCACTGACCAAACAACCCGTGGTTTCTTCAAAGACGAAGGGTCTTCGCTATCATGATCAACACCTTCGTCCTCCTCCTTCACATCTTTTCGTTTCTTCGAACACGCCGACGACAAGTGCTCAACGTCATCCCCTCCTCCGCCCTTGAGTTTATCAGCCTCGGCCGGAGTTAAGGTCTCAGTCTCCCTCGCCTCATTCTTTCTCTTCCGCACTAGGTGTTGCCATATGTTACGCAACTCCTCCATTCTAACCGGCTTGAGCAAGTAGTCGCAAGCACCATGAGTGATCCCTTTCATCACGTTGTTATAGTCTCCATCGGTGGACATCACTGCGATGGACAAAGAAAGCTCAAGCTAGAAAACAAGAAAACCAAACTTACTGATGACTGGAAGATCCATCTCTAGACCCACGAGCTCGAGCAGCTTGAAACCATCCATGTCTGGCATGTAGACATCGCTTATAACCAGATCAAAGTCGTTCTTATGCTCTCGCAGCAGTGCTAGCGCCGTAGTCGCCTTGCCACACGTCGTCACTGCAAAGAACAAAAGAAACAAGCCACCCAGAATTCACAAATTCATCCTTGGAACGGAAAAAAAGAAGAAAAAAAAGGTAGCTAGATGAGATTTGCACTTACCGTTGTAGCGACAGCGGCGAAGCATCGCCTCAAGAATCGTGAGCGTGGTTTGATCGTCGTCAACCACCAAAACCCTCATACCAACAGGAAACTGATCCTTGGAACCATCCGTGCTCACTGTGCTAAGATTCGGGCTACTGATGTAGCCACTTTGTCCTAGATCGCCCGAAGTCATCCTCATTCTCTTGCTGGCCTCCAGCATCTAGCACAAAACGCGCGCAAGAAACTCTGCCAGAGCTCCCGATGCCATCCCCCCCACCGCCCGCGAGCTCCTAGAATCCATCCACTCCCTACCTAGAGAATGTCGGTCCCCGAGAAAATTCGCGATTGCGCCCCCGAAATATCGGATGCTAGCGCCGCCCCAGCGACGATCCTGCCCTGCGAATCACTCCCGGCGCAAAAAGGCGGCCCTCCAGGGATGCGATTGGAATGACGAAAAAGAAAGGATGGAAACCCTGCCCCGGCGAGCAGATTGATCCAGCGCCTAGCTCTCTCTCTCCCTCTCTCTCGATCCTGGCCGCCCTGGCGGAGACGCGACGAGCAGCATCTACATCGCACAGGCACTCGCGCTTCTCCTCCTGTGCTCCTGCGCGCTGTGCCAAGGGGAAAAATCAGTAATGGCCAGAGATTGTGACCACTTTCGTACGGCCGTCGCCGCCGTCGGGTTTTTAGGGCACTCCTGGGGAATCGAACCCCCGATCGCCGCTTTAATTTAATCCCCGCCACTTATATTATATGGGAACAGCTCACATGTTCATGTGCAAACTTTCAAGTTTGGTGGGACTAATTTTTTGCGTCTTTCTCGATCTTGTTTACAACCTTTCGTGCGACGCAATACTATAAAGGTGGTAAACCTTGGGCCGTAACTTCTATTAATATTTTACCATATAATTTAATTCTTTCTAGTTTCCGCCCACCGCACTAGAAGTCGCAAGTGGGCTACGAGTCGCCCAGCCATTGGATATTCCCCGCGAAAAAATTCCCGAGGAGGGGGTAAAAAAGGAAGAGATTCCCAATTCGTGGTGATGGGAATGAAGGGGAGATTCCTCTAGATTTACAGTGATGTGTCAGCAGTTTAAGTGCGATCAAACTGTTTAAAGTATGTCATTTTTTAGTGTTTTTATTTATGTGTGCTGTGAGAGAATCATGTCTAGTTGGAACCCATCTTTCATATTTTATGGGTGGGATGGGATTTTGGAGATTGGGTTGGGAATGGGATCGATTCCTCTTCCGATTGTGGTGTCTAGAATCGCTTTATATTTTCTCCCCAATCTCCAAGTAGATTGGAGACTTGAGATGGATTAGCCAGCCTAGCTCAACAAAGAAACAATACCTAAAAAACTTCAATGGTTTTTAATGGATGTAGTGTTGTGTGTGATCAGCAAACCTCCACATGTCGTCCGCGTCCGTTGGTAGAGGGTTGATTTCAAAGGGATCCACGAATGAATCGAATCGAATCGTTTGGCTTTTGGCGCCTTGTTTTCTTTTAAACTGACGAGCCCTAATTCTTAAAACAGAGCCCCTGTTTTTAGGGCTTATAGCATTATCAAATTTCAACGTTATCGTTTTAGTTGGGATATCAAGATCTAAAACAATATGTTTTCACGTGAAATTTCAATCTGGTCATCTTAATCTTAATTACATATCATAATATTATTATTACAGATAGGGAAAAATATTAATTGGTAATTTCAATCTAAAACAATATTCTTTCACGTGAAATTTCAATCTGGTCATTGCTTAATCTTAAATACATATCATAATATTATTATTACAAATAGGGAAAAATAATAATTGATAATTTCAATCTAAAACAATATGCTTTCACGTGAAATCTTAATCTGGTCATTTCTTAATCTTAAATACATATCATAATATTATTATTACAAATAGGGAAAAATAATAATTGGTAACTTCATAATTCTATTTTGAACCGTTATGTACAAAACTCTGGATCCGCAAGCAAATTCCTCATATGCTCGGCATACAAACCAACGAGGACAACCATCGTTTGATCGTCCAGCCGCGGCAGAAATATCACAAGCCCCGTGAAAGCCGCCACCGGCAATCCAACAAAGACCGGCTTGCCACCACCAAAATCCACATCGTACAGAGGAAACCTCGACCAGCTCGTCAATGCCAAGTCGGTTCTAGCATCGCAAAAACTGGGGAAGACTCCCAGAGGACTTGGCTGCTGCTCGAGCCAGTGAAGCGCCGATCGCATGTACTCGTCGGTGATGCGGTGCGTGGCTTCATGCACGAGACTCGCAGCGTAACGCACTGGATTCTCCACGAGTTTCTGGCTCGACGAAGCAGTGCAAGCGTAGAAGATCACGTTTCCAAAGTATTTCTCTGGAAGAGGTGGGGTGAATCGAGTTCGTCCATCCACAGCCATCCCCAGCTTGGTTTCTTCGTGCGGCTCGAGATTCCTAGCCTTGGTGACGGACTTCCAGACGTGAGCCGCGAGAGCTTCGAACTTGGTGGTTCCAGGATCGCAGAAAGATCGCAATGCCTCGATCGCCCAGGTGGGGAACTTAAACATGCAAGCTTTGAGCTCTGGGAATGTGGCCGGAACGTTTGGATGCTGGGTCTGGTACTCGACGTGGTTGAAGAGTTTTGCCGGATCATCGACTTTGCGGAGAGTTTTGGCATCCATGAGCGAGTGATCAAAGCATGGTGCTAGAAACTCCTCTCCTTCTCCTCGCGAGACGAGCGACCAGGCCGTCAAGAAGGAGCTGGCCGAGAATCCATCGCCCACATTGTGATGGACTCCAAGAACGAGACTGGATCCTCCACACTGGAAGCGAGTGACTTGGGCAGTGACCAATGGCGCCTCCGTGATGTCTCCAGAAGTCTTGTAGATCCCGGTCGGGCTGAGAAGCTCAAACCTTGGATCGTGCTGCTCGAAGCCGCCGAAATCGTCGAGCTCTCCATCCACGAAAGCCTCGAAGAAGTCGCTCCCTTGGTCGGAGCACTCGAGCTGGAGGGCATTGTTGGGAAGAACAGCGTAGCGGCCGGCTAGAGGATAGAAGGTGGCCAACGTGGTGGAGAGTGACGCCTTGAGATTGTCGGTGGAAAGCTCTCTGGTGGTAGTGGGAAAGAAAAGAAGGAATTGCGTGTAGTACCTTGGGACGATTTGATCGATGTTGGAGAGGAGGTGGATTCCTCCTGGAGATGGGGCTGGGAGCTTGATCGCATATCTAGTCCTTGAAGTGATCTTCATTTGGAAACTTGGGTCTCTTGGTCACAATGCAGGAGAGATTTATAAGATTGCTTGACTTTTCTTGCAAGGGAAGTAAAGGACCGCAGTGAAATTGTGACCCTGGACACTGTGCCGCAGATGTCGACATTCTAGATTGTCATCTTCCAGCTAGATTGTCAACTTCCCGAAGTTCTGGAAGAAATCAGATTCCATTTGGATAAGCTTGATTGTTTTGGTATTTAAAAAATGTTAAAGGAGTTCTGCTCTTCTTTCCCATTCTCGCTTTTACGGGCTATGGTGTAACATCACTCTCTCGCTCTTTGATCTCTCGTGTAGCATAGTGCGATTTAGCGATGGGAATTTCGGCTTCCAAAGTTTTGATCGTCAACCAAACTGACAAAATTTTGTTTCTCCGTGACAATGATTATGGCATGGTGTTTTGCACACTCAGGGGCATTATACAGCCCATGAGCTCACAGTCTGTAAGTTTAAAGGTGAAAAGCGATCGCCCAAGAACCAGGACTGCCATACTTTTTAAAGCTTCTGGGATCAAAGGGGAAAGTCCTACTGGACTTCATATTATAATGGAACCTCACGTGCAAGCAGCTAGATCTTATATCGTCCTGGAAGATGAAACTGAGCGGTTCATTCTCATAGAAGAGGGCTAGCATAACACGATTTAAATTAAATTGCTCATCACACAAATCGTTCGCAAAAGTGAGAAGTTTCTTCTGCTGGTTCTCTGTAAAGGAAAGGCTATATCAGTATTGTAAATAATTTATCGGAAGAGAGTAAGCACCTCAAATTTGTGATGCTTTCAATCCAACATATTGTAAAATTTGTAAGTACGATTGATGCTTTTAATCATCTACACATGAGATCTCGCGCTCCACTGTCTGGAACACCCCCAGAAGACTTTTATCGCGTCGTTGTGTGTGAGGAGCCATATGGAGATTAAGGACACCCAAACCCCAAACGCGGCAAGAGCACAATTCAAAACGAAGTACTGAAATTCTGCCCATTCTTCCCTGGTGGGACTTCTTGGTATCCTGTTCATGTAGTTCTGCAAGAGGAACTCGAGAGCAATTTTTGAAATGGATCTGTTTGGAGGGTTGCAATAGAATATGTTCTTTCTCGATCTCCTTGGGTTTCTCTTCATGTCCTCCACTAAAGCTTGGTAACAGTGGACAATGTACTCTCGTTTTTTCAACTTTCTCATCATCTTGATGCAGTAATTCTGCTTCAAGATCAGTGATGCCAAAGCTGCGGCTGAGGTGGTGAGCGACACGGACGATGGAATCCACCATTTTGTGCTGGAATTCGTCATGGAGGCGAGGTGAGCGACCATGTTAAGAACCATACCGACAAACACGAAGTACATGCCCAACACTTGGTAGATCTGATTTATAGCACTGTCCAGCCTTTTCTGCACCAGCTTTTGCTGCTTCTCCCAGTGTCTAATCCCTTCCCTGTATTCCTTGAAGATATTTCTTCTGATTTTCATTGGCGCTGGTGCTTCTGCCATCTTGTGAAATTTTTCTGAATTCTGGAATGCATATGGATCACACGTTGCACGAATCTTCTTCGAAACCCGTCTGTCATCCGACAAAATAGAAGTCCAAAAGCTACAATTTTTAGTAATGTCAACGTAACTATTACAATATTTAAACTTGACAGTTTCAACACTAAGAAAAGATCAAAGAATTTCGTTCAACTTGCATAATCCAGGAAATCCAAACTTTAAGGCGCTGGACTTGGTGTTGGCATTGGAAATATGGCGAGAATATACTTTTAACACATGAATCTTTTGGGGACTGCAGACACAAATATTCCAAAGCCAATGAGGACACCATCTGTAATGTAGTACTGGAACACTGCCCGCTCTGAATGTGTTGGACGTTTTGGCATTTGCATCGAGGGGAGAAGAAACTCTTGAAGAATAGTGAGCATGCACCTGTTTGGAGGATTGTCATAGCAAATGCTTGTCCTTGGCCTTCTTGGACCTATATTCCTCTTCAGGTCCTCCAACTCGGCCTCATAGTGATTGATGATGTACTGCCGCTTTTTCAGCTTTCTCATCAGCTTAATGCAATCGTTTTGCTTCACAGCCAGAGACACCAATGTCACCGCAGAGGTGATTAGTGAGACAACCATTGGAATCCACCAGTTTCGGCATGAATTCTTGGACGAGAGCTGTGCCACAATGTTGAGGACCACACCCTCAAAAACAAAGTACATGCCCAGAACCTGGTAAATCTCACCGCTCCTCTTGTCCAGCCTCTTTTGCACCAGCCTCAGCTGCTTCTCCCAATGGCAAATGTCATCCTTGCACTCTTCAATCCTGGAATCCATGGCTGCGCTGGTCGCCAAATGGGTATCCCGTCACTGCTTTGTTCATCCATGTCGTATCGTGGCTATTTCTCGATCACTCCTGGATCGAAAATTAAAGAAAAGTTGAACATTCTCAAGTT